AGTCGAATGTGAGAAGAATAATCAACTATGATTGGTCAATTTCTTATTCTTACTTCCTACTTCTTACTGTTTACTTCCAATGTAGACGTCCCTTTAAGTCGTCACACAGCAATCAGCATCGCGGAAAAGAAACTTTAATGCTTAAATATGATTTCGATACTTTTGTGTTCAAGAGTTCATGCCTCTTTTAAGCTGCTTCTCGATTTACTTATTGCCGGTATTAAAAATCTATAGCTCATGTTACGTATATTCAGGGTTGGGAAGTAACGCGTTACTTGTAACGACGTTACTATTTCGTTACTTTTTTTTTTGTAACGATTTGGTAACGCCGTTACTTTTTTGTATCAGTAACGAAAAAGTAACGGCGTTACATTTTCTTTAGTAACGAGTAATGAAATTCACCGTTATTTGTATCGTCACTTTTTTACTATAGTGACTTTTGTACACAGAACGTGGCAACACTTGCCACGCGACGAAAGTTTGCAGACAATAAACAATTAATATGCTTTTCGTAAAGCCCATTCTACAATAAGCAATAAATCTTAAGTCATAACAAAATTGACCAATCATAGTCGACTATTAGAAGAATAATCCACTGTAATTGGTCAATTTTATTGCAACTTAAAACTTATTGCTTATTGTAGAAAGCCTCTAAAGCGTGGTCTACAATAAGAACTTAAGCCTTAAAATTTAAGCTTTAAACTCTAAGCCGTAAGAAATTGATCAGTCACAGTCAATTATTTTTCTTATAATTGACTGTGATTAGTCAACTTCTTACGGCTTAGGACTTAAAGCTTAAATTTTATGTCTTAAGTTCTCATTGTAGACCACGCTTAACCCTTTGCGACATACATTTCTCTATCAAATTAATTTCACAGATAAATGTACCATTAGGGGTTTTTGGTAATCGCTGATTACGAATCCGAAGCCAGATTTTCAAAATTTAAAATGGCAATCCAATATGGCGGACGAATTTTAGAAAATTGTAGTATTTGTATGAAACCTAGTATCTAGTGTTTTTTGGTTCGCTGATTATGAATCTGATCTCAGATTGTCGAAATTCAAAATGACGGATCCAAAATGGTGGACAAACATGTTAAAAAGTGGATAAAATATAATGAAAATCATTACTCATTACTTTTTAGGGTCGTCAATTACGAATCAAATATCAAATTTTCAAAATTCAAAATGTTTGATCCAATACAGAAGACCAAGAAATAAAAGAATGTGTTTTAGGTCTTCAAAATTATTCTTTCAATAGTTGGCGGAGATCTTTTTGGCAGCTGATTACGAATCTAAAATCAAAAATAAATTTTTTGATCCAATGTAGTGTGCCAAAAAAATGAGTCTTTTCAAAAGGTAGAAAATATTCTCTCGCTAAAATCCCGTTTTAGCGTTACCCAGAGCTAACGATGCTAATTTTGAAAATTTGATCAGCGACCCAAGAAACACTAGATACTACCCTTATAGAAATATCTAAATATCTACTAAGAATCATTGATAATTACTTATTATATTATTATTTCAGTATTTTTAATACTGAAAATAAGCAATTATCAATGATTCTTAGTATGATATTTCTATAAGGGTAGGTTTTATACAAATACTATAATTTTCTAAAATTCGTCCGTCATATTAAATCCGCCATTTTGAATTCTGAAAATCTGACTCCGGATTCGTAATCAGCCACCCCAAAAACCCCTTAGACCTTATTTTTAGCTTATTAATTATTGTTGGTTAGTCACAATTACATTTATTGTATAAAAAAGCAGTATTTTTGTAGTCTGTTTATTTATAAAATACATTTCCTCAACAATAAGAATGTTTTCAAAATTTTTTAATGACAACTGATATTCTACATAACTGATAATGTGCTTTTTACTGTACAGATGTGTTGAAAACTATATAAAAAATATAAAAAACTAAGGGCAAAAAAGTGTCCAGTATACGGTATACTATGCCGGAAAGGGTTAAGGGACGTTGCACACGAATTGATATAACAGTAACGTACCGTAAGAATTGACCAATCACTTTGAGTATCGTCAAACCGTAAGGTCGTCATTTTTGTAAATACTCGATTGTAATTGGTCCATTTTTACGGTACGTTTTACGTTACTGTTATGTCAATTCGTGTGCGGCGCCCCTTAACCCTTAGGAATCTGACCTCGGATTGTTGAAATTCAAAATGGCTCGCAATCGCAAGATCGCAAGGAAATTGACCAATCATAATTGATTATTCTTCGATCGCAAGAAGAACAATCGACTATGATTAGTCAATTTCTTTACGACCTTGCGATTTGCGACTAGTGTAGAATGAGTTTTATGTCGTTATACAAGAATGTGTGCTTTCCGCTTAAATATTTTATATTTTGTCTTTATATATGTATAATTTATGTACTGTCTCTCTTACTATTCGTTTTATAAACCGATTTTAACTTTTTTTTTTACAAAAGTAACGGAAAGTAACGATTTTTTATCGTTACTTTTCAAATAACGGTAACGCGTTACTTTTTAGAATCAGTAACGAGTAACGGTAACGAGTTACTTTTTACCGCAAGTAACGGTAACGGTAACGCGTTACTTTTAAAAAGTAACGTTGCGTATATTGTATACTGTACTGTGTACTGCAGTGTTGTAACAGATACATGTTTTGAAGTAGCTAGATATAGATACAGATACAGTAAGAAAAGTGTAGCTAGATGAAGATACAGATACGAATTTCATATAATTAACTACATGTATTAGGACCTTAACTTAGTTTCCGCCCAAAAAATACTGAGAAAAAGCATTTATTGTAAAAAATTTATTTAAATTATTTCAATGAAAGTATTTTCCATCACTTTCTACAACTTTTTGCCATCTTTCTGGCAACTGGGCGATACCATCTCGATAAAACGATGTTTGTTTCGAAGCAATCCATTCGTCCACCCATTCTCGCACTTCTTCAACATTTCGGAAGCGTGTACCACTCAAGCCGTGCTGCATCGATCTGAACAAGTGGTAATCAGAAGGCGCTATGTCTGGT